TAACTTATCGAACGAAATTAACGAGCCGAACACGAGTTGTTCGCGAACAACGAGCCGTTTTGACGGCCCTAATTGTAACGAAATTAACGAGCCGAACAGGAGCTTCTTAACGAGTCGAACACAAGCTATTCGCGAACAACGAGCCGTTTCGACAGCCCTAACTGTGAAGCCCAGTTTCCCTCTTTTTCTTTTTCTATTTTTATTTACAGTTTTATCTCTATTTCAACTATGTCAGCATATTCCATCATCAATATCACGTATAAAGTACAAGTTTTATTTTCTACGCCTGCAGAGGAATTTGATCAATACTTAGTTCAGGTTAAGCTAACGAAATTTTTTAGAGAGTTTCAGTTTACGAGGACAGTGGGGAAGATTCTACCCAAAGTACTAACAAGTTATTTTAAGCATTCATACATAATAATATATACTTACCTGTGAAAATCAATTATTGTAGGAAGGACAACTACAAATATTAGTTAACCCTACTTACCATGATCAACATGGGCAATGACCGACATGTTTCTAATATTGTGTTTTAGGTCCATGATCCTTCGAAGCTCTTCTGATGTAAACTTCACCATCTTGATTGATGGAAGCAAATGATCAATGGCAAAATATTCTCTTAAATCTCTGCATAAATGAGAAATATTATCAAACAATGAGATGGAAATACAAAATGTGCATATTTTGAGGAATACATAATTTTCAAATCATTATAAGATTCCTCATACAAGAAAGTAAAGTAAAAGTTCAAAATACTTAACAGTTCAAACAGAGCTACATGATTCTATAAAAAAAACTAGTTGTCAACAATTTCCATTTGAGAAATCAATGTAATCACATGAAAATGATAAAGCCTACACTTCAAAATATCATGCCCTGCACAAACGACATTACACTTCAATATTTAAAAATTAAATTCACCAACTCTAAGAACATCTATAAATGAATTAGCATATTTTCTATTAAATTCAATGATGAAAATTTATTTTGAATTATCAAATTTAATTCTAATCTAAAATGATCAATTGAACAATCATTAAAACAAAATTTTAGTAAATAATAATAACACTGCAGAAGATTATGGGCCAATTAAGAAACATGCAATTAAATTGATGAAAAAGTAGTAGTTTTATTAGGAAGGAAAATTAAAAGCATTAGAATTCAATATGAACTTCGAACATAACAAAAGCAAGGCATCGATTCAGGCCAAATGCATGTAAGATGAGATACTATGAATGAACAAAAATCTATATTATTTAAACATATCTAAATTTATAAAAAGATTCAACAATGATCTTAAATTCATGTTGATGTTTCTTAATTTGATTGGAAAAAGACAAATTGATGATTATGATGTGTGCGTTTTGTGGCCTGTTGATATAGCAGCCTCTCTGAAGGTCTTAAGTCTGCTTAGGTCACGGGTTCGAATCATCCCATGTGTAATTTCTTAATTTGATTGGAAAAAGACAAATTGATGATCATAACTTGATGTCATGATAATATGATGTCTAGCAAATTGTGTGTGTGTGTGTGTGTGCACGCACCATGTTGATGTTTCTTAATTTGATTGGAAAAAGACAAATTGATGATTATGATGTGTGCGTTTTGTGGCCTGTTGATATAGCAGCCTCTCTGAAGGTCTTAAGTCTGCTTAGGTCACGGGTTCGAATCATCCCATGTGTAAAGTGTGGTACTCGAATATTTAACACACCTAGGGATGGCCGAGGCTCTTCTAATAGTCTCTAACCATTCCTTTTAAATATATAAAAAGAATTACTTAAAACAACAAATTGAGACTATAATGATATGAAAAAGTTAAAGTAAAAGGATGATAAGCCTTAAGGATTCTATAACACTCAATGGAGTAAAACATAATAATAAAATAAATCTTTTTTAAAAAATAGATTTACTCCTTCATATAAATTGTGTGTATGTAGATGGTTAGACACATTAATTTAATAAAAAACCATATTCAATTATCATTATCAAGAATATTTGAGTATATGTACATAATGATAGAAGGAAAATTTTAAAGATAAAGAAAATTCAAATTAATTTGACTAATATGCCCCTCAAAATTTTAAATAGCTAATTAACTTTGGAAATAGTTTGATTGATAATTTTCTTATAATGAAATATGAAGGTATAATCTGTCATGCTATAATTAATATATGAATTTTTGAATGTATTACAACATAAATTTCATTCACCATTCATCTTCCCGAGTCTTTTTTTCTTCATTGATTGATAGAATTATCACCATTCTTGTCATAATTTCTTGCAACTCAAAGCCTTTGAAACCCTCTCACACAACTCTTTCGAGTTTGAGGAAAACAAAACAATCACATGAAAATGATGAAGAATAAACTTACAAAATATCAATACAAAATAATCTTATGATTTATATTACATAAATAATATTGCACTTCAATTAAACACTCAGTTCTCCAAGCTCTAAAAACATATATAAATAAATTAGCATATTTTTCCAATAATTAAAGTAAATGAATTTTGATATCAGTTTTCAATATTAAGTCCACGCTGAAATGATCAATTGAATGATCATTGAAAGAAGAAAATAGCAAATTTTAATGAAGTTATAGAAAAATATAGGCCAATTAAGAAACAAGTAATCATAATGATGAAAAAGTGGTACCACAAAAATTAAAAACAGCTTTCATCAAAGTTAAAAAAATAAAATAAAATTGAATATGTATCTCAAACACACCTAAAGCAAAGCACCAATTCCGGCCAAATGTATCCAATGTGATCTGAAAGGGATAATTAGAAACCTAAAAATTTTAAAATTTCATAAAAAGTATTCACCACTAATTATAATATCATTATGATGCTTTTTAATTTTATTTGAACAAGCAGACACGTGATGGCAAACATAGTGCCAATGAAAGGCTATGATGCATCTTTAGTGAGATATGTTTGTCCAATAAATGTGATCAGTTTTTGTATCAAATATGAAGTTGAAAAAACAATAAAACAGCATTCACAAATCAAACAAAGAAAAATAATAAAATAAGAATGCATAAATTTAGACAAAACTAACATGGCTGGAGTGATTGTTTGCAGATCTAAATAATCTCAAACAATAATAGAGGAGCAATCTTTCATACAGAATAAGCCACCACAGAAGCAAAGATAGATGAAGTTCTCCCATGCAACAAGACTTTTAGATTCAACGAAGAACTAATTCCAAAACAAGTTCAAGAAAATGTCATGCCGGAGACGTCGAACTCACCAGGAAAAAAAAGAGAGAACTTCAAGGATGAAACTTCTGAGCCGTGCTTTCAATCTGCCCTTGCGGTAAGAAAATGGTTTTTAAAGTAACGAACGAAAGCCTTTCTTCACGTAAAAATAGAAATAAAAGTTTTAAGGAGTATAATATATTAATATTCCTTCCTCTAATAATAGAAATAAGACATTAATTTAGGGAAAGGAAAGAAAAGCCGTAATTATCTCTAAGCGAAAGTAGTGGGACCACAAAAGATTCTTTTTTCTAGATTTAGGTTGTGGCATGTTGTTGAACTTGAGAAACCGCCCAATTGTAACAGCCACCGATAACTATATAAAATAAGGCGACGTACGTGTGGTAACCACCCAATCCTTACTTACGTGCGTATTGATTTTTTTTTTCTCTATTTATTGCACCCAAAGCCTTATTATCACATGAAAAATGCTACTATTTTAAAATTTAACAGGTAAAATACACATTTTCATGTACAGGCAATCTGAAACATTCAAGTATAACGAAGTTTAACTCTTTAAATATCAAGGCATCTTTTGGTGTAGTGGTTGAAATTTCATCAAAAAAATTTAAATTTAAATTTAAATGTTCTCAAGCGGCAAGCTTGGGTTGGGTGCTGTCAGCACTATTTTGGTTGAGGAGTTGCTCATTAGAATATGTCGGCCGCCGGAATCGGAATTGTTGTCCGTAAGAAGCTGTCGGTCACTAGAATCAAAATCCCGTCTCCTGCGTCAGAAAGATATTTTAATGTTTAGAAAAATATGAAATCAAACTGACCCCATATTTTTCATAGTTTAAATGAAAGAGCACAATATCTCAAATTTTGTATCTATCCCGAAGGATGAACACAAAACTTGAGGATGTGGCTTGATCAAATAAACTAAGAATTGTATGAAATATGTTTGGTCGGCGAAATCATTTTATTTACCGACAATTTCCCCTATTTAATATGAAGAACTAAGTAGGGTTTATATTAATCTGGGTTCAGAAAAGCTTCCTATAAGGGCAATCCTCTATAGTTAATTGCATCTTAGATAACCAAAGTCACCTAAAAAAACTCTCAATAAAAATCAAGGAATATTATCTTTAAAGAGGTCAAAAAGATATGACTTGTCAACGAGATCGGACAAAGAGATGTGAAAGGAGAAATGACTCAAATTTAAAACATTTTGTTTTGGAATCCAAAGGAGGATACTAGGGGATGTCATAGATCCGGAGGAGAACTTTGATGACTTCCCAAGCTACCCTATGGTTTGGCTCCAGTTTTGGAGAGAAATATTTAAATGTTTCTTCCTGCCAATTTTATTAGTTATGGCTTACATTCGAGTGAAACGATCACACAAATTGCCTGGAAGATGTGAGGATTTAGGTCGTAACGAAAGACATCCTCGGAATCCTAATACGAGTTAGGACTTATATTGTATAGCAGAACCCTACAAAATCCTAAAGAAAGGTTGAGATTTATGTTGCATAAGCAAACCACCTCAATGCCCTATGGCTTGGTTATTTAATTCTAAAGAAAGAATGGTTTAACTGATGTAGACATGTTCTGCTGTTGAACATGGTCGTGCTACCCACAATGCTAGCTCTAAGCTTCTCGTCGAGGTAAGTTTAGGTTTTCTAATGTGTCAAGTTATAATGTCAAATCAGATATCTCTAAGGGTCATGGTTATTTAAATGGTATGGGGCATACTAAAGTTGATTAAAGCGACACCAGTTAGGATCTTACGATTCCCTCGTTTCGACACTACTATTTTCTTTCGAATTCACTTAGTACAAATGAATTTAATAAACTCAACTTATTGAATACCACACTTTCATTTATACCTTGGGAAACTTTGTTAGCAACCGTAGGTTACCTTCTCCAAGGGATTCCCGATCTTCCGATAGAAACATTTTAATTTAGTTTCAATTTTTGTTTTGTGTTGTTTGTGATTAAATTTTAAGTTGTCTTATATTTTGAATGTTGTGGCGGTAAATTTTATCTTGATTCATTTTTAGTTTTGGTTTGGTTTTACGGTTATCCTAGCAGTTTTGGTTTTCATACAGGGTGACATCATTGTTTAACATGCATGCTCAAGGCAAGAAGTACAAAAAGGTAAATGTAATAATTTAAAAAATATACCTGTCGATTCTTCTCCTTTATCCACCTGAAAGGTTAGTACTTGCAAGACATGTATATAATTTTGTAGAGATTTTAAATTGCAGGAGTAGATGAATGTTTAGCTACCAAACCCCAAGTTGTGACCTTATTGAATCTCAGAAGAACCTAGTGAACGATGTTAGAACAAAAATATGACAAGTCCAATTTGCCCTTCAGAACGTCCAGCAGATTTCAAAATGCTCGAAGCATGACCCTGGACCACTTTAAAGATTTCTTGAAATAATTTGAGTTCATTTTGGACTTATCTTATTGTTCCACTAATCATCCGAGGTTTAAGTGTGACTACACCGTTGCTCAGTGAAACTTGACAATTTAATTATCCTGAGGATAGGATACACAGTTAATCAATTGATGTTTCATTTAAAAGTTATGTGAGTGGGTACCCCTAAGGCAAGTTTAAGTCATTTATGATTATGGTGCCCACAATTAAAGTCAGACTTGTACTGTTTAAAGATTTTAATCACCAATCATGTTATCTTCTAAATATGATCAATTGAATGTAGATATCAAGCCTATGTCACTACTAAGCCTTTAACAATCATGATACGCGGAATGGTGATTATCAAAATTTTGATTTAAGTGATATATATTCTTATTGAAAGATCACATAATCATCAATCTTAGGCTCAAGATAAGTAAATTATCATTTTTCTATCTTAAACCTATCACTTAAGAGTCATTCAACCTTAATTGACTTCCAAGTCATAAAGATTAGGAAGATTATGATCTTGTTGATGTTGTGCAAATGTGGTGAGTGAGTTTCTATCTTTTAGTCTCATTGTAATTCAATCATCCAATCATATTCATTAAGATCAAAATTTCACATTTTTCCCTTGGTTAACCCTAAATTTTGATTAAGAACCAAAATCTAAAATGACTATTTTGCCCTTGGGGTACTTGATTCCTGGATACTTAATGCTTTTGCACGGTATAACAATAGTTCTGATGGTATTTTTCACTTATATTTCTTTATTTTGCAGCAAACCAAAAACTTGATCCTGAAAAAAAATAAGAATTTAACTTTTTAATTTATATATATTTATATTGGGATACTATGCAAGTATACGTATCGTTATCAAATAATACAGGACTTTTTGATTAAGACCTCAATATCGAACCCACAGAGAAGATTATGCAATATGCACTTTTTAGAAAGTTTTTCTATTTTTAAAAAGATAATTACTTAAACTTAAAATGAATTTTGCAGGAATTAAAATTTTAAATATTTTTGGTATTTTTGATATTTTAACGAAACAATAACAACTTAAAAAGACAACTAAAGTTTTTGTAGAAGAAAAGTACTTAAAATTGAAATATCTTTCTTCTTATCATGAATCAGCAATAAGTATAGGAATTCAGTTGTGGAAGTATGCAAATTGTGTTGTACCAGATAGGAGCAATAATATTCTTTACCCTTACTAGAGATGCTATAAAAAACATTTGCTAATTTAAAGTTTGAAAAGTTTTGAAGACCGGCTAGGCAGGGAAGATACTAGCTCTCACTCTAGAGTTCCCTTGATTCCCTCCATCTAGGGGCTAACATTCTCGTATCAGAACCTAAAGCAATAAACCAAGTTGAGAGATTTAACATGTCACTTTAAAGTCCTCTAACTCTACACCCATCAATGACTATTTTCTTATTTATTTGCACTCAATCATATGAACTACATTCTCATTCATACAACTTCATGTGATTCTTTCCAATTATTGACTGAGACAATACAAGCCCGGCTCTTACATGTTCTCACAATAAATTTTAACATCTAGATTGGTCAAATCAAGAAGTAAATGAAGTGCATGGATTTAAATCATCATAACTTCTTCCAACATTAAAGATTAATACTCTCCACAAATTCCATCCAAAACTTAATTATTTATCATTTTAAGAGGAAAGATAACGAAAACTACTTAGAATACATGGAGAAAACAAGACCACACTTTAGTTTAAAAGAAGAAATCATTGTCAAACTAACAACAAGTCTCGATTAAAACCCAAAATAATCTAAAACAAAACGATAAAAACTTATCTCAAGTCCTCCACCAAACTCTTAAAGTTCCTTTGAATCTCTTCTCTTTTACAATCACTCAAAACAAAATAACAAAAAGGATAAAGTAAATAAAAAGTGGTTCCTGAAAATCTCTCTGAACTAACTCCCTAGAGAAGAACTTTCAAAACTTGCCAATATTTTCATGACTCTTTTCTAAGTTCTATCTTCTTTCTTTTATAGTTTTCCAAGACGTGCCTTGGGATCTCTTCAAAATGTGTCTTGATTCGATTTATTTGCCTAGGAGATGCATCCTTTCATGATAATTTTCATCCATGGTGGTTACAAGCACCTATTAAGCCAATGCGTGCCTCAAAAACCTCTTCGAAATTCATGAAAACTGATTTTACTTGTCTAGTAACTATCACTAGTGCTTAAGCACGGGGGCTCTGCGCTTATTCACGGCGTCTTCTAGCTTAGGTGCGGCCTTCTCTGTCTTAAGCGCGCTTAAGCGCCGGATCTGACGCTTTAGCGCCAAAACTCTTTTGCACAATTTTTCACCTTTTTGCTCCAAATTTGATCATTTTTCACTCCTTTAAGCACTTTTTCAAGTTTTACTTGTATCTACAAGAAAAATACAAAAATACATTCTATTAAAGTGCAATGTCTCAAAAATAGGTATAAAAATGTGTCTAAAAATATTATATATTTTAGGTGTATCAAAATCTCCCAAACTTAAAATGTTAGTTATCCTCAGGTGACACTTCAATCTTTAAAAACCAAATATGTATGATATATATAAGTGTTTCTTTAAGAGTTACTAAAATTTAGATTTAGAAATTTAGTAGTCTAATTTAGAAAAAATAATTAGTAAATGAGACTGACCAAAGGAAAATATGTTAGATTTTCATACCTATTTTATATTGTTTTTTATGATATTGCAC